TTCCCCCCAGAAGGCAGCCTGGTTCCTGCACTCCCTCCAGGGGATAAAATCACCTTTTTGCTCTTTGCTGGCTGTTTGAAGGCAGCCCCCCACCCCCACAGAGCCCAGACTGGGGGGGGGGGCACTGCCCAGCTAGACCCAGCATGGGGTCCCCCACAGTTCTCCAAGGGGAGGGGCGCTGGAGGTGCGAGGGCATAGCTGGTGCAGAAGACCTAGAGGCCACAGGAGGGGGCTGAAAGGGGGAGGGGGGGACCCCTGGGAGAAACCCCCCTTTTGGCCAGAGACGGTTTAGACTAGTGCAAAAACAGCAGGGGGGGGCAAGTGAGGTGCAGCTCCCCCCACCCAGAGGGAAACTCCAGGCCCCGGGCACAGCTGGCTCCAACCGCCCACAAGCAATGTCCTGGCAGGGGAGGGGCCAGCTAGGGAAATGGGGGGGCAGAGCCCCCTGCAGCACAAGCAGGATGGGTGCAGTTCAGGGCCCCTCCTGTACCCTGGCCAGTCCCCCACAAAGCCCGCAGCGAGGGGGGGTTACCAGGACACTTGGGGGGGGCTGGTTCTGCCGCATCCCAGTCCAGCAGGGCCATGCCCTGTGCAAATCCAAACCCTCTCGCAAAGGGGCGTTCCTGTGGGTGGGGGGGCTTCCGGCTCTCCCAGCCCCCCCCACACTGACCGAAGGAGGGATCCAGCCCTCAGGGCTCCCTGAGACAGGCTGCCCTGCATGGGGCACTTGCAGGGTGAGATTCTGCCCCCCCAGCACGGAACCAGCCCCTGCTTTGAATTCGGACCTCGGGGGTCTCTGTGCAGCCATGGTCGGGGGAGGCACCCAGGGCCCATGACACACGTGGCGGGGGGGGCTGCCCTGGAGCCTGGCACAGCCCCCCACAGGGGACAGGGACTCGTTGCACACAGCTTGCCACCGAGACTCCCCCCTCCCCAATGTCACTCCAGTCCTTGGGGCGAGAGTCCTCAGCGCCCTTTGCCCAGGCTCCGGGGCACCCCACAGCCAGCTGTGGGGCTACGCCGGTCAGCAGCGGCCCGGGGGCTCTTCCCTCCACCCCTGGACAGCCGTTTGCTCTCCGCCCCGCGGGCCCGCGGCAGGAGGTGGGCAGTGGGG